GAGAACTTTAGATTCTGGCGTACTTCCAGGGATGCATGATGTATTGTGCATTGTATGACCTCCCTCATCCTTGTACCCTCTGTACCCCATACCATGACAATTAGTATTTAAAACCCATATTCATTTTTTTCACATAGTGTACCTGAAACTGGCAACGCACAGGTTCAGTGATCTGTACGCAACGAGTGCTGGTCCTCCAGCTAGGTAGATGCATGTTCTGCATTTTTGGCAGGAGGCGTAAAAAGGCAAAGGTCTAATTCCAGGCCAAGAAACTGTCCATTAGGCAACAGTTCATGTGCTGTCTCAATGTCCAGGCTCTGATTGGCTGAATCCTGTGAGCTGACTGCTCGTGCTCTCTGGTCTGGTCTGCTCATGTTTCCCCTGCAAAGCTTAGCTTAGCTCAGGTCATGAACTTGAGCCTATTGACGCATTAAGATTCCTCCACAGTTCAGGGCTATCTTTATTTATTTTTTCCTTTTTATATATTCAGGGTTGCAAGTACTGATGAGCGTTTTGAGAAATCGCACTGATATTCTTCTGAGAAACCAATTTTTAATATGACTCACCAAGGACAAACCATATAAAGTAAAAGTAATTCTAGAAATCAAAGTTCGGTAGCTTATCAGAGATAAGTTGGTTGCTCATACCTGCTTTATCTGTATTGTTATAATGTATAATCTGGAGGCAATATATAACTGCTATCGTGAAATAGTAAGCAGGCAAAAGGTAGCGTGTGTGTGTGTATAATATATACACAGGCCATTGATGCATTTCTGGCTGGATGCTAACTGTATTTCATTGGCTCTGTACATGTACTTTTGCACAATGACAATAAAGCTCAGGAGAGTGGCCGTACGCTTGGTTCATATATATGCATTTTGCGATTGATGTTTCCTCCAGTGCTTTTTGAAGTTTGTTTTGTGGTTTTTTTTTTTTTTTTTTTTTCTACCCATGTTTTTGATGCGTTTTTACCGCGTTTTGCATTATGATCAGCTTTTTGCTTTCCGTTTCTAGGCAGAATAAAAATGAAAAAACGCAGAAAAAAGTACTACCATGCATTTCAGCAGTTTCTCCATTGAACTCTTTTCTAAAAACGCAGCAGCTCAAAAAAGCATAGATGTGAACATGTTCCATGCGAAACCATGCTGAGTAGACTGTAGTGTGTTTCTGCAAAAATCACTAAACACATTTGTGTGGACAGAGCCTTAGATTTTTTTTTTCAGCTGAATGAAAACAAAAAAAAAAATCTAACAGATTTCTCCATCCATGCTATACATAAATCTCCCCGCTGGCGGCTGTCAGATTACCTGAACAGCGATTGTATCTGATTGGATGCAGCAACTGTTTGCCCATTCATTTTCCATGGCTTTTTGATTTTTATTTTGTACATTTTGAAGGATGTCAGACAGGAAAAGGGGGGGGGGGGGAGCAACAAGTCCTCCTATAAAGTGATTTTTGGCCCATTTATCAGAAACAAGCCAAAGTTTGAACTTTGCAAAAAAAAAAGCATCTTTGCTTGGCTCAGCAGAGCCTCCATTTATTTACTAAGCTCTGGAACAACTGCACTGGCAAAGTGCATAGTCTGTTTACGTTTAGTAAATCAACCCCAATGATGGCAACATCGAATGTTCTAAAGATTTTTTTTTTTTTTAAGAATTTGCACACAAACATCCAGTTTTAGAGGAGCCACATGATGCAAAATGAATGTCAAGTGCCCATTATTTTGTTGAGAATCCTTCAGGTGCTATTTTGTAAACTCCAGGTGGGCTTTCTTGTGTTTTTGCACTGAGGAGAGGCTTCAGTTTAGCCACTCTGCCATAAAGCCCAGATTGGTGGAGGGCTGCAGTGATGGTTGTCCTTCTGGAACTTTGTCCCATCTCCACACAGGATCTCTGGAGCTCAATCAGAATGACCATCTGGTTCATGGTCACCTCTTACTAAGGCCTTCTCCCCGATGGCTCAGTTTGGTCAGGCGACCAGCTCTTGGAGTCCTGGTTATGGCACACGACTTCGATTTGAGAATTATGGAGGCCATTGTGGTCTTTGGAATGTTCATTGTAGCAGATGTGTTTTCTAGCCTTCCCTGGATCTGTGTCTTGCAGTAACCCTGTCTCTGAGCTTAGCATCCAGTTCCTTTGAGTTCATGCTTTTGCTCTGATACAGAATGCATTGTTAGCTGTGAGGCCTTTTATAGAGAGATGTGTGCCTTTACAAATCATGTCCAATCAATTTATTTCACCACGGGTGGACTCCAATCAAGGCGTAGGCACATCTCAGGAACAATCGAGAAGTGGGAGGTACTTGAGCTAAATTTCACGTGTTGTTGCAAAGGGTCTGAATACTTATGCTGATGTGATATTTCAGTTTTTTGTTTTCTGAATAAATTACAGGCATTTCCAAAATTCTGTTTTCACTTTGTCATTATGGGGTACTGCGTGTAGATTAATGAGAAAAAAAATGAATTTGAATGAATGAACTGTAGTATCCGGCTGCAACACTACAAAATTGAAAAAATATGTATGTGTGTATATGTATGTATATTTGTGTATGTATGTGTGTGTGTGTGTGTGTGTATATATATATATGTGTGTGTGTGTGTGTGTGTGTGTGTATATATATATATATATATATATATAATATATATATATATATATAATCTGTATATTAGTGTGTTTGTACTTAATAATAATTTCAAAAAAATGATAATATATAATTCACATTGTAGAATTAAATTCCTCTGTAGGATATTATAGGAAGCCCGTTTTTGCTTGTGTGTGATGTTGGGTGGTTTTTTTTTTTTTTTTTTTTTTTACAGTTATAGAACAGATATAACAAAACTCTTTTAATAGTCTATTTAACAAACTAGAAGGAAAATGAGACGTTCATGGTTAGATTCCACAAACATCAAGTGAGCCTAGGGCAGATTTCATCTGAATTGTACGTGCTCGTATGTCTAGCATTTTCCAGGAATGTGCTTGTCAAATATCAAGTGTATGCCAAAAATCCAGTTATGAGAACAAAAACAAATTCCACGATACAGATAATGATTATTTACTTGCATGCTCAGAGATGATTCTCTGTTAGAGCCCATCCACCAGAAAGTATGACAATTTCATGTTCACATTATGATCTGCATTTCCCTTGTCCCTTCATTATTTATGAACAGGCTGTGTCTGTTCTCACACAAACGACCATTAGCTCTGAGATGGAAGCTCGTCCACTCAAGGTCAGAAAGCAGCCGCTCATCATTCTCTCATGATTATTTCACCACATTAGATGGCAAAGTTGTGCTGAACGATTAATGATGCATTTCCATGAATGTTCTGAGACTATTTTACATGCTGAAGAGTAACAAAAATTCTAATGGACGCAGACATAAATATAGTCCCTTGCCCAACATTTCTGCTTCAGAAAAGGGCACAGGCTTTGGGTTTGAGTAATCCACTTTAAAGTTGGAAGTGCTACTGTTCCCAAAAAAACCCCCACAGAGGTGGGTTCTATGGGATGGTGGGATCTATGAACTGTTTGGGTTTTTTGTTTTTTTTTTGTTCTGTTTTATTTTTTATTTTTTAGAATGAAAGACCATGGTAAGAAATCCAATCAGAGCAGTGGAACAGCACTTTGTTTTAGCAGAGTGCAGGCTTTAAAAAGTACTGTACAGAGGGGCCCTGTAAGATGTTGTGTGAATTCTGATTACAGTACTTGGATTAAATAAATGGATTGGACTGAAGTTTACTAGCAGGGTTTGCTGGACAGTATTAGTAGCCCACTGATAAATTAACTTGCTGCTGCATGTAATGGCTCTTTAAAATTACATATTTTCCTATTAATCATTGTCCTTTGTGGTGTAGAAAAATTCTCCATCTAACTTGCCTTCCTGTTTGGTTTCTGTGTTGTTCTGAGATGATGCAGCCAATACAAACTTCGGGACCAAATCACCAAAAATTACCTTCTGAAGGATGACTAGCTTGCATAAATGGAGGATGTTGACTTTTAGATATCATGGCCTCAGTGATTTTACTGTTGACCTGATTATCATTCTGTCTTCTACTACAAAATGGTCGCCTCTTTTTTTTATGTATAGATGACTACCTTTAAGTGACCTTAAACAGGGGTTTCTTTATTGCCCTCCTTCCTTAGCAGCTCAGGCTGGATTTCCAGTTGGAGCCTACCCATGACTAATGGTCTATTTAACCCCAACGGAACAACATTCAGCTAATCATGAAGTGAGAACATGTGTAGTCACCTACTCCTCCATACTCCGAAGTACTGTTTTTTTTTTTTTTTTTTTTTTTTTTTGGGGGCGGTTTATCACTACCCAAAACTGAACAGATTGCTACAGCAGTGAAGGCAAGATGGGTATGTACTGCAGAACCAGGTTTAATATCCCAATTCTAGCTTGGGTTAAATATGAAAAAAGGATCCACCAACAGCTTATCTTGCCTTCTTTCCGGTGTTGTTCTTAGCAGTCTCATCCGTTTACTGATCAAGCACCACTTCTTCTTGACAGTCAGCCTACTTCCTGTAAACCCAGGGTATCAAGGCAGGTCCCCTGCCTTGGTCTCACTCCCTGGTCTTACAGGTGAACGCTGCAGAGAGCAGTGCCAAGGCACATGGTGGTGTTCTCTGCAGTATTTAGAATCTTCCCACCACTGGTGGAAGAGGATGTGGCCTCACTGCACTGAAGGCATTTAGTAAATGGGTAGATATACACAAATTATTTTTTTTTGGTTGCTCCAGTGGTGAATAAATGGCACACAGGGAAAGGGTGCTTGGCTAGTGAACCCTGAAGTGGAGGAAGGTTTCTTTTCTTGCTTCCCTCAGAGAATGCAGTCTGTATGTGCAGTATTAATTTTAATTAATTTTATGTTAACTATCAGTTTGTTTCCTCATACAAAATGGGGGCAATGTCCAAAGGCTGGGCTCTTTCTGCAGAGGTTATGTTTGGCATAACAATATACGGAGGCTCTAAAGATGCTCTCTATGCTTTCTCATTGCAGCTGAGTGCTGTTCAGACGTAATGGAGGTGGCCAAGGAAGCCAGAAAGAGAAACCTGGGTCCACTGCATCCTTCTTTTAATCTGGTCAAGATCCTAAAGAATGGTTTATACAGAAACTTTCCTGAAAACGCACATGAGCTTGCATCGGGCAAACTGTGTATATCCCTCACCCGGGTCTCCGATGGAGAGAACGTCCTGGTGTCTGAGTTCAGCTCAAAGGAGGAGCTTATTCAGGTAAGTTGCACATCAGCGGTGTACAGAACTAAATGACACAAGATGGCTTCCATGATGTACAGGTTTTTTATAATCCTAGCACCAACCGCAATGGTGAACATGAAATTGGTTGTGTGTTGGGGAAAGGATCTTCTATGAGGAACAAAGAGATGTCTTCTCTTCTGAGATGTCTGTCTGTTTTTTTATGTTTGTTCCTAGGATGGACCAAAAATCTTGGCTTCATAATGTAGGCAAAAAAATTGATTTGGGCAAAAAGATCTTGCACTATATGCCCGGTCACACGCACCCTAGGCAGCTCTCTGCCTTTTTAGATGCATCTTGGGAAATTAACGCAATCAAGCTTCATTATGATGAATCCAGAATTATTTATTGATACAATAATCCTGCAGCGCAAGTAGTGAGGGAGTACGTTTTACACTACTATATGCAACAGTTATACTGAAACCACTTAATCCTTTAGACCAACCTTTCTCAACCATTTTACCCCAGAGGAACCCATAACATAATTTTCTAGTCTTAAAGAATCCCTGATGGAACCAATCCATTGGGAGTCGATGGGAAAAATGTGCCTTGCATTTCTGGTCAGTGGGAAGAATGCCACTCAGAGTGGTGGTCAAAATGCCACCCTTACAGACAGCTGAGAGGACCATTGGTGCCCTGCAGCTGGCTCTGCCAAGTAGTGTTGGCTCCTGAACTGTGCGGGTACCATCAGATGGGAGGACCATTAACCACAGCTCGAGGAACCCTGGTTGAGAATGCCTGCTCCAGATAATATTGCAAAGGAAAGTGCAAGGTAATTTAAACAGCGCTCAAACTAGTGTTAAAAACCTATTGTTTTTTTAACCACTTCCAGTCTTTAAGCCATATATATATATATATATATATATATATATATATATATATATGGTCTCGGGTGGAAGTGGTTATACCAAGAACATGGCTGCAGCCATGCTCCTGGTATTGATTTTCACAGCTAGCACTAGGCTTTCATGTAAAAGTGATCTGAGTGCCTCTGCAGCCACCCGGATCACTTTTACAGAGCACGGAGGAGGGCCACTGCTGCTTACTGCTGTCCCATGCTAATGGAAAGCTCGGGACTGCTTTAAACTGTCAGGCCAGCTGCCCAGAGGAGAAGGAACATCCATTCCTTCTCCTCTGTCACGAAAGAAGCCGGAAATGACAAGGATGTCATCACTTCATTTTTTGTTTACTAGCCGTTACTGGCTAATCAAAGATCTGATCAAACCAATCATTTGATCAGATGCTTTTGAGGGCAGAGGAGAGATCTGGGGTCTAATACACCCCATATCTCTCCATAAAGAGTACCTGTCACTGCCCATACTGCTATTATTTAAAAGGTTTTACCAGTAGTCTTGCATACTAAATCTGATCTGGCACTTTCTGGTTTAAATAAGGGAAAGGCTGGACATTTTGCCTTTGTGACTTTTAAAATCGTGTCCAGCACAAGTAATACCTAAGACAGAAATTTTACCCTTTTATGTTTTGGTCACTTTTTTTTTTTTAATTCAGGGCCTACTTGTAAAGACCGCTTCTGCCTATAAGTGGTAGTTTTGCCTTATAAGGAAATGAGATGTTAAAATATTTCTGGATATTTGATCAAATTGGCCTTTTGTATTATACATCTATTTGTGTTTTCTGTTTTCCAACAGGCTTTGATATGCAGTGCCTTTGTCCCAATTTACTGTGGGATTATTCCTCCGACTTTTAGAGGCGTGGTAAGTGCTTGCCAATGTAGTTTTCTAGGAAAAGAAGGATTAAACACTAAACTGGGTGTCGTAAAACTAAAGAAGGATTATCGGTTATCTGCACTTTTCTTAAATGCTAAACCTGTTTGTAATACTCCAAGCTAACAAGGCATGAAACTGCCTTTTAGGTAATGACCTCGGGAATCACAGCCTTACCTGACCCTTGGACCCTGGTGGTATTCCCAAAGACAGATTAACTGGGAAAACAACTGAATTGTATTGTTGATTACCCTATTTGTTATACACCAAGCTTAGGCCTTTAGGTAATGACCCCGGGAATCACGCAGCCTTATCTGATCCTTGGACCCTGGTGGTATTACCAAAGGTGGACTAACTGGGAAAACCGCTGAAGTATCAGTGTTAGGGAAGATATGTAAATGAACCATTTAAAGAGGAACTTCACCTAAAATAGGAAGTTCTGCTTATCCTCCTCCTTCCCTTCCTGTGCCATCATTGAAGTTTTTTTATGGGTACCCATTTCCACTTTTGCTTTCCTAATGTAGATGAGCATAGCTGAAGCACTAGTAGCATTAGAGGTACATGTGCTCATATAACTGAATTTTTCATTTCAGCGTTATGTGGATGGTGGCATTAGCAACAATTTACCTGAATATGAACTGAAGAACACCATCACAGTCTCGCCTTTCTCAGGGGAGTCCGATATCTGCCCCAGAGATAACTCCACCAACTTCCATGAGCTCAGAGTCACCAACACCAGCATTCAGTTCAGCCTGGGGAACCTTTACCGGCTAACACGAGCACTTTTTCCACCGGAGCCCAAAGTAAGTGGCCTCACTTCCTGTCCTGTCTTGATTAACAAAAATGTATCCCCTTTTTACATTCACGGCAAAGTGGCAGGTTTTCTTAACCAAACACCCTTACACCCAATGATGCTCTCAGAAATGTCTGGTATTTCAGGTATGGGGGATCAGGTGACCTCCTCGTCTTACTTTCAGGATGCAGTATTTGGGTCTGAATTGGCAATAACCAGGATTAAGCACTGTCACATGAGTAGGGAAGAGGTCATTAATCCTGTTTAAGCTCTGGCACTGTGTTTACCTAAGTATTGGACTCATGACAAAGTGGCAGGGGAGCACAGAAAATGGGTGGTAGTGGTGACCTGTTAAAACAACCTGTTACTGATTCTCTTTAAAAGTTAGATTGGGGGGGCCTCTGGTCACTTATTTGTGCAGATTTAGAAATTTGAACCCAATGTAGGCCTTGTATGGGATATGTCGCAACTAATTTTGAAAAGTTTAAGATTTTCTAACATACTGAAAAATCATCTGAACATTTCCTTCACGAACGCATTGACAAAAATGTCTGTCTGTATTGGCTCCTTGGTGAAACCTTCTTCCCTTTCAAGCCCTTGTATTGGCATCGAAAGGATTTTATGGAGCTTTTACTAAAAAGCTCACCCATGTTATGTCTTTTCTCTGTGTACTGAACTCACTTGGGGTCATATAGACATTGGGGCCTCATTTTCTAAATATGGAGATGAATGATACTATTGGCAACCAATCGGCTGCGCAAAAAAGACAGCAGAAGCTTATTGGCTGCCTTGGTCAACACCTTGTCTTGCTCTGATTGTCATTGTTTTGTATACTTGTAACTGCCAGAACCATGGTGGTACATTTCCCTCACAGGTATGTTATTTGTTCATCATGTTTCATGGTCCTGATGTTGTTTTCGCAGGTTCTGGGAGAGATGTGTCAGCAGGGATACAATGATGCACTTAGATTCCTTAAAGACAACAGTATGTTTTTGGTTTTATTTTTTTTAATCTGCCAACGTACATTCTGATTTTCTCTTCAAACATTTCCACTATTGTAATATCCCACCTTTTTGGATTTAACTTGGTTATCTCTTCTGTAGGAGGCTACTGAGTAGGACTTTACTTGTCATGCTTCTAATTTAAAGGGAAAATACAAGGAGGGGAACTTATCAAAATTGGAGCAGTCAGAATCTAGGGCAGCCATGCATGTGCATGGCAACCAATCTACTTCTAGCTTTCCTTTTTCAAGGCTTAACTGAACAAGCTGAAAGAAACGGATTGGGTACACAGCAGCTCCAGGTTCTGTCTGCTCCAGTTTTGATAAATTCCCCCCAACATTTATTCAGTGCGCTCATGCTGCACTGGGATGCAATAAGTAAGTTTGGCTGCCTTAATATACATATGCTAACCACCTCTACAAAGAAACGAGGCTTGTAAAAAAAAAATAGCATGCATTAATATGTGTTAAAAAAAAGAACTTAAGAGATTAATAATAATAAAAAAAGTCAAGCGTACAAACTGCCCCCTGATCCCATCAGTACTTACATCTACAGCGGGGTGAGGACCTCTGTTGTATTGCAGACAAGTTTCTGTGATGCTGTGGGTTGGTATTGCAATAGCTCCACCTAGAGGACTAAAAGCACACAGTCCATTTAAATATTTAGTGGAACTATGCTGCATCTGGGCACTACAAACCGAAAACGCCATTTAATTCATTATTCATATTCAATGCAAACTCTCCCATGTCCCCGTGCGTTATTTCGCTGAGAAATCACCCCTAACATTTCTGGCTGTGCCCATCTTGAATAAGGGCAGATCATTAATGTATTGTTTACTTCTTTGAATCCATCTGTCCTTAGTTCAGACATGCAGACCTGTGCTTAGCTGAGAGGTGTACTTGACTGAGAAAATCCTCCCCTCCTGAAGACTGCTTGGATATATGAAATAATTTGCCTAGGGCTGGAAACCAGGAAGAAACTGAAGAAATGCAAAATAAAAAGTTTAAAACCAGTAAATATTATTATTATACAGGATTTATATGCCCCCCTAACACTCCGCACCTTTGACCTTACTACCATCGAGGAAGTCTCCAAGATCCTCTCTGATGCCCGCCTCACCACCTGCCCCCTCGACCCTATCCCCTCACAACTCCTACGACCTCCCTCCCCCTCCATCCTACACTCCCTCACCCACATCTTTAATCTCTCCCTCTCCTCCGGCACTTTTCCCTCCCCTCTGAAACATGCACACATCACCCCCATACTTAAAAAGCCCTCCCTGGACCCCAATGACCCAAACAACCTCAGACCCATTTCCCTGTTCCCATTTACATCTAAACTCCTCGAGCGCCTAGTCTACACCCGCCTAAGCTCTCACCTCAACGACAACAACCTCCTCGATCCCCTACAGTCCGGCTTCCGTCCCCTACACTCCACCGAAACTGCCTTACTCAAACTCTCCAACGACCTGCTAACTGCCAGAGCTAATGGCCACTATTCAGTGCTCCTACACCTTGACCTCTCTGCGGCCTTCGACACAGTCGACCACCCCCTCCTCCTCAAAAAACTACACTCCCTCAGCCTCAGATTCTGCTCTCTCCTGGCTCTCATCCTACCTGTCACAACGCTTTTTCAGCGTTACCTATAATGCTACCACCTCCCCCTCGCTCCCCATCTCTGTTGGGGTCCCTCAAGGCTCTGTCCTCGGGCCCCTTCTCTTCTCCATCTACACCTCCTCCCTTGGCCAACTCATACACTCTCACGGCTTCAACTACCACCTCTATGCCGACGACACACAAATCTATCTCTCAACCCCCCACCTCACCCCCTCGGTCTCCGCCCGAATCACACACCTACTGAGTGACATATCAGACTGGATGTCGCTCCACTTCCTTAAATTGAACCTCTCCAAAACCGAGTTTCTTGTCTTCCCCCCAGCCCGGACACCACCCCCCATTGACTTCTCTATCACATCCAACAACGCTACCATTAAACCCGCCCCGCAGGCCAGAGTACTTGGTGTCATTCTGGACTCCAACCTATCCTTCCAGCCCCAAGTCCAATCTTTAACAAACTCGTGCAGACTCCACCTCCGCAACATCGCCAAAATACGCATGTTCCTAACCCCAGAAACCACTAAACAGCTCATCCACTCCCTCATCATATCACGACTCGACTACTGCAACTCCCTCCTCACTGGCCTGCCTCGCCGCTGGCTATCCCCGCTTCAGTCGATCCTGAATACGGCTGCCAGACTCATTCACCTTTCCAACCGCTCAATCTCCGCCACCCCCCTCTGCCAATCCCTCCACTGGCTTCCGATTGCGCAACGGATCAAATTTAAAATCCTAACACTGACGTACAAAGCTGTCCACCATACTGCCCCGTACTACATCACTGACCTAATATCCAAGTACCGCCCAGCACTTGGATACCTCCTTCTCTCTAGTTCCCTGGTCTCCTCTTCCCGTGCCCGCCTCCAGGACTTCTCCAGGGTGTCGCCCATCCTCTGGAACTCCCTGCCCCAAACAATCAGATTATCACCTACTCTCCTCTCCTTTAGGCGCACCCTGAAAACCCATCTCTTCAGGGAAGCATACACCACCCCCTCCTAACCTGCCTGACCTCCTCCACTCTTCCTACCACTCCATCCCCCACAGCTATCTCCTCCTGTACCACTATCCCCTCCCTCCTAGATTGTAAGCTCGAAAGAGCAGGGCCCTCGATCCCCTCATGTTTTGCATTGTATTGGTATTGTTCTGTCACATGTTCTGTCCCCCTTTGTAATGTACAGCGCTGAGCGAACCATTGGTGCTTTATAAATACTGTATAATAATAATAATATAGCGCCAACAGTTTGCTCAATGCTTTACAATATAATGGGAGAGAATACTGCAACAATACAGATCAATACAAGAGGGTTAGGAGGGCCCTGCTCCTTGGAGCTTACAATCTAGGAGGGAGGGGCTAGTGGTACAAAAGGTAGTAACTGTGGGGGGTGGACTGGTAGGAGGAGTAGAAGATTCCATTATTAGTTGAGGGCAGGATAGGCTTCCCGGAAGAGATAGGTTTTCAGTGATCGCCTAAAAGTGAGTAGAGTAGGTGATATTCTGATAAATTGGGGTAGAGAGTTCCAGAGGATGGGGGAAGCTCTGGAGACTAGCACGGGAGGAGGAGACAAGGGAGCTAGAGAGCAGGAGGTCGTGCGAGGAGCGGAGAGTACGGTTTGGGTGATATTTAGAGACAAGATTGGTGATGTAATTTGGGGCAGAGTTATAAATGGCTTTATATGTTATTGTTAATGTTTTGAATTTTATCCGTTGGGCAATGGGAAGCCAGTGGATGGATTGGCAGAGAGGGGTGGCAGATACAGAACGGTTAGTAAGGTGGATGAGTCTGACAGCAGCATTCATGATAGACTGAAGAGGGGGATAGCCTGCGATGAGGTAGGCCAATGAGGAGGGAGTTACAATAGTCAAGGCGAGAGATAACCAGGGAGTGAATAAGTTGCTAAGTAGTTTCCGAGGTTAAGAATGGGCGTATCTTGAAGATGTAAATATGATATACATTCCTATCTATTTACTAATGCTAGCAGCATAAGGATTGAAAATGGTCAACATCAATTAAGAGAATGACATTCCACTTTTTCATCAGAACTTTGACTACTTTTAGAACAAGTACTTTCCCTTGATTGATCACGTATTTCTGTGACTTTTTAACTTATTAGGGCCCTCTAACCTATTTTTGTGTATAGCCACATACAGCTGTTGCAGTACATACAAATTATGGTGGCTAGAAGTTATTAAATGGCATCATTCCTCCTCTTTTGTTGTGATTTTCTTTTTCTGTCGTTAATTACCCTCTATTGTGTGCAAGTCAAGGGCTCTAGTTCTCAATAACGGAGAAACAAAAAATACGTTTTTAGTTTTCTGAATGAATAAGATAGAACCAGACTGGTTTTCTTTGATCAAGTTCTCCCCTTTTTTTGTAAGCCAGACATTAAATTATTTAAACTTATATATAGTAACCGTCTCCAATAATATTGAGAAAATCTTTTAGAAAAAAACATTTGCATTTAACCAGTTTGACATTTTCAACCAGTTTTTGACCAAATGCTTCCTATATTTTTCTTCTTAGATCTCCTAAATGCGCCATTGCCCACAGCATATCTGTCTTTAGGGGAGGAGAAGCCTATTGCCTGCAGCAGTCCGGAATGCATTATGTCCCCTAATGTAAAGGAAGTACAAGAAAAGGAAGTAGAAAAGAAGCCTCTTGTGAAGCAGGAGAGCTGGCATCTGGATAGAAGAATAATGGAAAAACTACCACCTAGACTCTGCAAAGGTAGTTACAATGAGAGTGTTGTCTGTATCGTATGTTGATGTGCCTAGGATCAGCTTTGAATGGGTGATGAGGCCCATTTTCAGGGTAAGAAAACAAGTCAAGATAATTACAGGAACTCCTACGTAGTATCAGCTGATATGCAGTTGCTTTTAAATTTTTTGATGTGAGAGGAAGCGGCACATTTCACTTGTGTTCAGCTGCTACAGAAGAATGGCTCAGTCACAGTATATGTATTTTTCAAAACAATTACATAATTGGGCTGAGAAGACACATGTCCAAGTTCATGCAAAGAACAATAAGAACAAATATCTTGTATTCTCTAAACCCACTTGATCCAAAAGAAGGAAGACCCCTTATAAAGATTGTTTTAATAGGGGAAAATAATTATTTCCTGATCCCCAAAGAAAATGGGACACTTCTCAATTAACATTCAACCGTGTTATTCCTTAATAGCTGGTTGTATATTCTGCATTTACAAACACATCCCTTTGCTTAGAAAAAAAAATCTACTTCCAGAGTTGGCTAGAACTAGATATCAAGACTATTCAATATTCTAACAGCTCTTACTGCAAAGAACCATTTTTTTGTGCATGAAGGTTAAACTTTTTTTCCTCCCAGATGGGAAGCGTACCACCTTGTATTTGCACTGACTTATGAACAGCGTTGCACTATATTTAACCATAGACCAATTATGTATCTGTACATGGTGACTATAACCTCCCTTATAGCCCAGCTTCAGGAATTTAAAAAAAAAAAAAAAAAAAAAAAAAAATCCACCCTTACAGTGCCCCCACACACATACTACTTGTGTTGTCTAGGGGGTTCAAGTGTAAACTACTATTTGCTTTACATCCTTGGTCTGGTGCTCTCCTCTTCTGCCCAAAGCTCTGGTCTTTTGGTGGGGACTTTGTGTCTTCTCTTCTGCCCAAAGCTTTGGTCTTTTGGTGGAGACTGTGTCTCCTCTTCTGTCCAAAGTTCTGGTCTTTTGGTGGAGACTGTGTCTCTCTTCTGCCCAAAGCTTTGGTCTTTTGGTGAAGACTTTGTGTCTCCTTTTCTGTCCAAAGCTCTGGCCTTTTGGTGGAGCCTTTGTGTCATCACCTACAACACAGGGACATTCAGAAGGACATCCACAATGTGTTATACATTGAAGAGGCTGGAGTGCAAGCCGGTCGCAGGTTACAAAGTAGTCTGTTGGGGAACAGATGCAGCACAGAAAGGACCCTTCTGGAGCAAGGAATAAGGTAAGTATTTACCCCATATTCATGCACTCCTAGTCATAACGAGCATTTAACCATTGCTGTATGGGGAGGAGAGGGGGGTACTGCAAGGCTGGATTTTTAAAACGCCTGGAGTTGAGCTTTTAATCATCTTTTCTCAAGGCAAATTTTTAGTTCAGTTTGTCCTTCCTCCTAGCCAAGGTCCACCATGCCCTTATTAGTTCAGTTGCACTCTTTCCAGTTCCACAGTATCCTTTGGTGCTGGTGCCCAAAATTGAACTGTAGATAAGATGAGGTCCTACTAATGCTTTGTATTGGGACTAAATTGATGCAATCAAAAGGCACAGAAGATGAATATTTTCTTTTAAAGGTGACATCCTATGTTGAATGATCTGCATACTGCATATTTGGTGTGTTGAGGTGTATTTTGCCATTCAGTCTGCTCAAGTGAGGTCCTTCCAAAAACGCAATGGGGTTGATTTACTAAAACTTTGAGAGTGAAAAATCTAGGGCAACTCTGCATAGAAACCAATCAGTTTCCATGTTTTATTGTCAAAGCTTAATTGAACAAGCTGAGGTTAGAAGCTGATTGGCTACCATGCACAACTGCACCAGATTTTGCACTCTCACGTTTTAGTAAATGACTCCCAATGTATCTCATGCACATGTCAGTGAATGTATTCTGGTATAACTGAGCCCTAAACATATTGCCAATATTTGTTTCAGCATTACAGGAAGCCTGTAAAGAGAAAGGAGGACTCTACAGCCAGATCACTGGTCTCCTGCCCATAAGAGTGGCCTCTTATGTGGCTCTGCCATGCACTCTGCCAGTGGAATCTGCTTATTCTCTAGCTCTGAGGTAAGGACGTGGTACATGGATTGTGTTTTTGTTCAGCTGAGAGCCTTATATGTAATAAAACCCAAATTGCATACTTCCACGTTGGCCCCTTTTTGGCCATTTTTCAGTTTTATTTGTAGGTGTCCAATTCAATAAATATACCCATTGGTGTGTCATTTTTCCTGTATTTAAGTAGGTTTTCATATAGTTTTGAAGTTAATCTTTACGCAAATATATACATTTAATGTGGTTACGTATTCATAGACCTTAATATGTCTTTATATGGACTTTCTGTTATTTCCTGCAGTGTAGGACTTGGACAAAGGGAGAAAGCGCCATCGAAAGGGTTTCATTGTGCTCTGCTGCAGTGCTCAGTACTTTCAATATAACCTGCTAGCTGCTGTGAAGGCCTGAGGCCTAAAGGTGTTCTGAACACCCCCTGCTAGATGGCATAGGTCTTGATCCATATAGCTACAAATCCTTTGGGACATATAATGGTTTCCATGTATGTATTCCAACTATTTATTTAGCTACTTGCCCAGAGTTCAGATTTACAGTTTAGAATGTAGTCTAGACTTTAGTTTTCCAAAGAGTGTGTGTATGGGGGGGGGGGGGGGGGGGGGGGGGGGGGTTTTAGAACTTCCCTTAGGATTTTTCTGTTCCTTGTCGGGAAAGGAAGTGAGGGCAAATATACCTAGTGGGCTCACGCACAGCATTAACCTGTTTCTGACCCTTCCCCACTGTAACCAGTTATACACTTTTTAAGGCCATTCTTGATTAATGTATGGTTCTAAATGTTCTCCTAGTATAGCTAAATTTTGAAATCCTTAGAGTTTGCAAAGAACTTAAATTCTCAGGAAAAAACAAATACTTATTTCCTGTTTTCAGTTGATGTATATTACTGTTGGGCCCTTGTCTAAGTGGTTTAGTTTTTTATTGTTTGGGTATTTTAATGTTTTGTGTTTTCTGTATTCAGATTAGTAGATTGGTTCCCTGATATCCCAGATGACGTCCGCTGGATGCGCTCGGTAGCTGGTGCTGTGTATCATCATGCAAGGAAAAGGTTGCTCCCACCAAGGTAAATGAGCAATTTCCTAAAATGAAGCTGATTTGTATTCACTTTCAGGAGAATGTTTTTGTTGGGGAAGGTGTGTTTTTTTTTTTTGTGTGTATATTTTTTTTTTTTTTTTTTAAGTTTTCACAATTTTTTTTCTCTTAGCTTTGGGGTTTACACATAGACTTTCTTCACTGCTGGTTCTGCTAGTACTGTTCTGTTTGGAGTTGCAGTAGAGGCGTAATTAAAACCTTCATGGCCCCTGGTGCAAGAAACCATGTATGGCCCTGACCCCCAGCCTATGCCCTTCCCTTTGAGCCCAGGGCTCTTTACTCCAATCAGAGTATTTTGGTCCCGCAGCGGATTCTTTTCATATGCTCTGCAGCGGGCTCCCCCCATGGTGGCATGTGTGCCAGCACCCGGTGGCCAGTGCAACCTTTGCAACCCTGGTAGCTCCACCAGTGGTGTCAGTAGGACTGTAAATCGTGTCAGTCATTCTTCTGTTTTTAAAGTTTTGTAGGATTCAACGTTGGGGTGCAGAGGGTGCTTTCGTGAAATATAAAACCTCTGATGTTTCATCTTTGAGACAGAGAAAGGAGATTGAGGACACAGCCCTCAATCTCTATCTCTGTAGCTTCAGCTGTGCAGAATGAATGGACAGGAATAGCTCTGTACCTTTTCCCATTCATTCTCTGTAAAGATCACTCACTGTGTCCATTCAGAAAAAGAAGGGGCCGGTAAATTGCTTATTAACCGGCCCCTTGCCCCACTTTCCATCCTGAAAGCATCCCTTGCAGCAGCAGGTGGTAGAGGGAGGGGGGAAGCCAGCAGTGCCGCAGTGGAGTGGGGGACCAGGGGAGCACACAGTGGATGCAGGAAACAAGTAACCTGGATAAAGTGCTGGTGCAAGAATTTTTGCCTACATAGGTGAATGTGCATTTTGCTCCTCCCCACCATCATCCTGTGAAACCCACCACACCTTAACACACCTCCTGTATTCGAGTACCCCCGCCCTTGATGAAGGAGCACAGGGGGGAACCTTCAATCGGGGGGAAGGGGGGGTCGGGGGAGTGTTAAATGTAGTAGCAGATTTAAATATATATAAAGTGCAGCCCATATAACAAATCCACCAATTGGGTATAGTGTCAAAGGTATATGTGCAAATTAGTGCAACCAATAAAGTAATGCATGAACAAATAAATATAGCAAACAGGTAAATAATTAAACCAACAAATAATGTCCTTCCGATATGAATCTGTGTATCATTGATGCTGGAGAGCACAATCGTGTCCAATTCCACACAGTGCTAAAGATCCAGTGAATGTTCTGCCACCACTATGCACTCACCAGAATGCTACTTGTGCAGTAGCCAAAGGTCAATACATTCAACTCTCCAATGTTCACTGGATAGGTGACCTCCAAGGAGAAATACTCACCACATGAAGCCAGGAATAATCCACTATTCCGTTTGTGTCAGGCAAATTCCACACTATGGTCTATGATGCAGACAACTGGGAGTGTAGATCTCAACTTTAGTTCTTTGATGCTATCCATCTTTAACCTCTTCCCACCTCTCTGTGAAAATAGTAGGTATCCTGGATATCCTAGTGGTCCACTGGCTGGAATTCTACCAGAGTCTCGGACCTCGCCCATGCTCTGCTTGCAGACAGACGGGGATATTTTTCTTGCAGCCAGGCATGTTCCCAGAGACACCACTCTCCTTCATGGCCCGCTGCACCTTTGGCACATAACACCTCACAGTAGGGAAGGGACCGGTGGTGGTGGCGGGTGATACTGCTACCTTCTTTGCTCTCTGAGTGCCGGCACTTGTGTTGCCTGCTGTGCTCCGTGTTTTGGGGGGAGAAGGCTCGGGCAGGAGGGGGCTGCAGTAGCAGCAGCTCAATGGAAGGCACACCAGATTTAAATACACTAACAAACTGAAGCCAGAATCCAGCTAATACATTATCAGCAGCTACAGCAAACAGTTTTTTTTTTTTTTTTTTTTTCTCCTTTTGGGATAAAGGTTTTACATAAATAAAAGCCGATCATTGTAAGCACCCCTGTCAGTGGAAGATAGTTTGTCATATCCCTTTAACTGCTACATCTGCAGGAGAGCTTGTTCTGTTGAAAAATAAACACTTACTGGCCAGATCACCAAAAGAAATAAAGTCTAAAAAAGAAAACAAATGCAGCCATCACATCCAAGAAGGGTACCTGGGCATTGTGACAGAAGAGGGGGGGGGGGGGGGGCAGTATAACAAAGGGGGGGGGGGGTGTTGGGGTAGTGTGACAGGAGGTGGCCAGTATGAGATCAGGATGCCTGGACCCCACTATATACTCTTTCAGGGGCTGGGCACTGTGTATTCTTTTAGACTCAGGAATCTGCTGTGGCAGAGATTGAGCAGCCTCGGGGCAAAGAGCAATTCTCTTGCCTTACCTGGCAGCAGAAACTGCCTGCAGTCAAGAAGCAGGAGCTGGAGTTAGGGGATGGGGGGGTGGAACTGGAAGGTGGAGCTGGTAGCTACTGAGGACTGCTTGTCTCTTGTTAACATTGTGGATTGTGGCTGCCTGAAATGCCTAGCACCAGGCTGGATAGGAGGGGTGACATATAGATTTCCTTCATTTTCTGTCTGGCTCCTGCAGGGTTTTCAGTGGCTGCAGGAGCCAGGAGGAAAATGGAGAGGATTGGTTCTTCTATATGCAGCCAGTCATATGCAGGTGTAGACAAATGTGACAAGGGAGCCGCAAGGGCCGCCTGTAGCATGGGACTGGGTCACAATTGTGAACCCTGTGACCCCTATAGTTACGCCTCTGAGTTGCAGTGTATGGGAACTGCCGACCTGGTTCTGTACCACTACAGGGAATGACCACTGCTGAACTCCCGGTGGATATAGAAGGCAGAAATTAATGCAGATCTGTATTCATTAACCTGAATATTGGCAGTCTAAGTATCTGAATTTGACTTGCAGTTCCTGTATAGCAGAGCTTAGATTTGGAGATAGGAGTAGCCAATCCATTATACTGTAATGTTTAAAAGCTAACTAGCAGCATGTTGATAAGAGTGATGGAGAGGAGCTTATTAGTCTGCTGCTAATTTACATTTCACAGACTGGGGGAAAAATAGAAGACCTGCAAGTGTTTCCTAAATTTAAACTGTGCCTTAAAAAAAAAAATTAAACCATTTGTGAGCAGGCAGGCCTTTTCTATTGCAGAAGAGACATGTCTTTTGTACAATAGAAGCTGTTTATCTGCCTGTTACAAATTTCTTTTCAGCATAGAGCGTGTGTACGCAGCTTAGTGCACATTCTCGGCATGCTAGAGTGCTGGCAGATGCACATTAGTTAAACCATATTGGCTGACCAAGATGGCTGAAGAAGCCAAAACCAGAAGACCATGCATTGGTGGGTGTGTGAATGTCACATTGCTGGAGGGAAGGGATGAGCATTGCAGACTTTGTTCTCCAAGCAAAAGCAAGGCTGTGCTGTATGGCAATGCTTGGAAAACTGTTTCTGTATACACATTTTATCTGTATTTAGAGGGTCTTGTTTTTATAAATGTATAAGTAAACAATTTTTTTTTTTTTTCCTTTCCCATTAGGCCGCCAGTTCGCAGCACCTTAAGAAAGTGCCTGAGCCTTCCATCTCCACTCCTGCATGCCTCCACCTATCTGTCTCCCAATAACTACTCTTCCATGGACCTGGAAGGCTGGGTGTTTGACTTTTCCTCCCCTTTGAACTCAAATGCTCTGAATTCTGATTTACACACAAGGAAACTTGCTCTCCCCTCTTTTGACCCTGATGACTCTGGAATGGAATTATCCATCTCAGGAGATGACATGGACTCCTATTCCTCTTCAGAAGTGAATTTCTAGTTTACTGGGACTGTGTAATAAGTTTCTATTGGTGCTGAATTCTCAGGATATGTAAGCAATTTCACACTTATTGCTGTGCTGCATCATCAGAACTATTTTACAGCAGCCTGTAAGCTACACAGCACTACTAAATCACTTGCTAGAACTAGCACTTGGAAAATGTGCATCACTAAAGGCCGAGTCTTAAATAAGAACTCCACACAAATCAATTTTATGGGAGAAATTTAATTGGGGAATTTATATGGTCTAATATTTACTCTGGGAGCTACACTGTTAAGTTCCTACATAGGGATTGTCTCAAAAAAAACGAAAAAAACAAAAATCACTCACTTGAGTCTGAGATCGGCTCGTAGGATTGATGTAGAACAGCAATGTCACATAATGAACTGTTCATTGATCAGTCCTTATAGTGGAGTCCCAGAGAGAAGCCTAACTCTAAATCCTTATTACCCTAGTACCGCCCCTACCCCAATTTAATTTATTAATTGTGGATGGAGTTCTCCTTGAGTCATCTTCTGATCTGCCTGTGCTGTGGAAATTTTTTGACAATGACTTTTGTCTGCAGCTGCTACCACTTGGACAGGTCATATCCTTTGCTATGAGATTTGGTGTCTAAAGAACATGTTTGAACCTGTTCTAGTCTTTCAAGCCTTTCCAATTCAATGGGCGTGTTTTTTTCATTTTTCAGTATGAGACCATTTCATCATTTCTAACCTTTTTGTTTATATACATCCTAAACACAAAATTTCATAAATGGTATACACTTTCTTGGGATCAAAATGGCACCCAGTACACTGTTTAGTCTTATTTGGTATGAATCCACTTTGTCACTTCTCATCCAAAGAGATGCTATGTGTATACTGTATAAGGTGAAGTTTTAATAGTTAAACTTTGGTGATTAAATAAGATATTTTAAGTTAAGCCAAGGATGTAGCACTTTTGAGGTACAAAACAAATGTTTGTGTACAGCCAGTAAGATGACAATGGTACTTCTGCTGTGTTCTTTAAGGCCCACTCCAACCAGATTGTAGGTGTAGTTTGCTTGGCTGCTTGTGAATGAAATCCTACAACCACTACTGAATCTCAGGTATTTCCCAGTTCTGTCCAACTACTGAAGGTACTACAAAGCCAATTGACAAGTCATATAACGCTGATAGAGCTTTCACCACAGAACGAGGTCCAAATATCCAAAAGCTTCAGCACACCTCTTCCAGCCTTTTAGACCTGAATTGATTCAGGGTGAAATGATAGATGGTGCCGCCATTGAATAGCACAGGACCCCTTCTTTAGCCAACAATGAGTGACAATCACTGAGCCCTTATGAGAAGGAAGGGGACAGAATGTTGTGGGGAATTCTCACCTCTGGCTTCTAGTGGCAGGATTCAGCCTGTCGATGTCTGCCCAAATTGACATTACCCATTCTGTCTGGAGTCTGTTTTTCCATGTCTCCCGATTCTTAAACTTCTAATCCCTGGCAAGCGCGGGTTCAGCTAACTTTAGCGCTCCAGCTGCTGCAAAGCATTGTGGGATACTGCCCAGTTCTGCTGAAATGCTGATTTTGATTTCTGTCGGGGGAATGGAGACTAGATTTTTATCTGTTTACATTTCTAAAACCAAAAACTGCGGAAATATAATGGAACGTAATTTTAATAAAGAAAGCCATAGAAAAATGACACAAAGCAAGAGTTATGCAAAGGCGAGCAAAAAATGAAGCTATTGTACCTACCAGCTAAATTACTTTACTTTAAAAGATAAAAGCTGGTAGTTTGCTGTGTGTGTGTGTGTGTGTGTATGTATGTATGTATGTATGTATGTATGTATGTATATAATTGATTGACGTGTCTGTGAAATGGCTATAAGAAGCCCTGAGCTACTATTGAAGGAGAAGGGGATATCCTAAATATTGCACCTTATTATTCTCCCAAACTGCCCTGGATACAGGAAAGGGAGAAGCAGATTGTTGTGATTGATGATCTATTCCAGATAAGTCAGGTTTGGCCGTTTCCACTGTGTGGCAGTGAACCATTCTTATTTAGTAATTACAAAAAAAAGAATCCATTTGAAAAAGCGAGGTGCTGGTTTTTTATTTCCCTAAAATGTAAAAATGTAAATGATTAATCTCTATCCCTTCTGTAGACTGCTTCCTGTCTACATGTGATTTTTCTCTCGATTTTATATCTATTCATAATATTTTAAAGTGTATAAATATACAAAAGATTACATTTATATTGGGGCATCATTTTGGCTCTATTGGGCTGCAAAAAGAATCACTTTGTGGGTTTTTTCTGACTCCTGAAGGCACTGCCGTCTCCAAATTGCCGGCTGGGCTGCCATCTCTACACCTCACTATTGACTTGCACGAATTCTTTTTGCCTTCTGATCCAAGTGCTGGTGAAGTAGGGCCTTGGCATGTTTTGCATCTCCCAGGGCCTGTAGGTGTCCCTTATGTTTTAGATTTTTGCTCTTGCCAATATTCTGTTCCGTATTTTTGCTCTGTAGACACACGGCTACACTTTAGGGACCTTTGTTTTTACTGTGCAGTATTCAATCTTCCGTTAATTACAAGAATCTGCTGTAACTGGTGCTGTACTCTTAACGTAGTGCCCATATCACCCTAACTTGGGCAGCCGTTTTGTAGGCTAAGCAGATTTTAAGAATTGTGCGGTCTGACAGCTAACATTTGTTTGCTTGTGACTGGCTTACATGATGGATATCTGCTGGCATACAATATGGCTTCCTGTTCCGTGTACCTCAGATATCTGTATAATTATAACGAGATATATTGCAGAAAACCTCATTGGGTCTGTGTAAAGAAGAAAAAAATAATAATGTTGGCAAAATAATATTTTAACTATGCACAGCTGCTGGTTTAAAACAGTGGTCAGTTTTCCTGGGCCTTTGTTTGGTTTACGTTTTGTATCAATTGTCTTGGACAAATGGGGGTATGATCAATTGCCCTTGAGGACTATAAATAAATAAATTAAAACATTTTCTGTCTGTTCTTCTTCTTTTTTTTTTTTTTTTTTTTTTTTTTGATAAGTGACAGTTTGAAAGTGTAAAGATGAAATCTAGACATTTATAATATACAACATTAATGTGCTTATGTAAATTCTATATCTAGAACTACCTAAATATGTCGGTCTTCCTATAATTTGCACAACAGTAATCCCATGGGGAGTGGGAGTGGATGAACCTGTTCCCAATCTGTTGCATTGTAAAAGACTGTCTGCTCGTCACCATGAGACCTTATAATGGTGGCCATACACTAGATTTATTTTATTTATTTATTTCAGGTACTTATATAGCGCCGTCAATTTACGCAGCGCTTTACATATATATTGTACATTCACACCCGTCTCTAACCCTCAAGGTGCATTCAATCTAAGGTCCTTAACTTACATTCATTCATACTAGGGCCAATTTAGACAGGAACCAATTAACCAACAAGCATGTCTTTGGAGTGTGGGAGGAAACCGGAGTACCCAAAGTAAACCCGCACAGGGAGAACATGCAAACTCCAGGCAGGTGATGTCGTAGTTGGGATTCGAATCAATGACCCTAGTACTGCCAGGCGGGAGTGCTAACCATTTAGCCACTGTGCTGCCCTGATTAAAAAAAAAAAAAAAAAATAAATAGTTTTTTTTCGTATAGTTAACAAGCACAAAAAGAATTGTTTTTTTTACATTTCTGAAGGCCCAAAAAAAAAGCAAAAACAGGTTGGAAAACTTCTGCCAATTGATAAGTTGAAAGGTTATTGTGGTCCCCCACCCCTTAAAAATCAAACTGTTCGTACTGTGCAAATGAAAAACTGATTAATTTATGTCCATTGAAAGATTTATCATTCAAAATTCGGTCATTACATGATGGTAATATACTTTGCTCTTACGAACAAATGTTCATTATTCAAAAATGAGTCTGAACAATTTTTTTGACTAGTATATGGCCAGCATAAGTGGTTTATTTCTGTCTAATCGGCAGACTAGAGCTGGAATGATGACCAAGCTTGGTTGCAGTCAGAAAAAGTAGTGATTTGTTACATATGGTCTAAGATGGGGGTGAGGTGTTGGATATGGATCATCTACTAATAGAAATTAAGTTCTTAGTGGAGCCAAATGGCTTGGGATTGGTGGCTCTTCACAAAATGGGTATCCTCAAAAAAAAAGTCTATATACAGTTGCACTAGAAAGAGCACCAAACAAGTGATCCAAAAGTCCCAAAAATGATTGATTTGCTCAGTAAATGATAAGATTGCAAAAGTCAACATGTTTCAGGAGCCCATAGCACAGGGGGAAGGGGTAATTGTCCCGGAGTGAAGCGTTTACCTGCAATTTTTGTATTTGATGACATGGTCAGTTCAAAACTGAACTCCAGGCAGATATAATGGCTTTCACATGGTCTTTGGTGGTGCTTGCAGAGTGTTCGCATTCACTTGGATGGGTTGTGCGCAGCAGGTGCTATGCCCACTGAAAGCAACGGGGTATAATTCCTGTGTAAAACCCTGGCCACTGCCTCTGAGCTAAAGGGGGAGCAGTGGGGGAAGTAGTAAAGACATGGCTCAACCGTGGGGTTTTACTGCCCATGAGCTGCTATTGTGAATGAGCCTTAAAAGATACAAATTACTGCAGCTCTGTATTTATTATTACATCATTCAGTGAGAAGAATTTATTAAGACTGCAGCAGCCAGAATCCGAAGCTGCTGTACATGGCAACCAATCAGCTTCTAGCTTTCATACAGTGCACCAGCTGCATACTGTGCACCAGGTGCTCAGGATTGTCAGCTCCTGTTTTGTTTGCTCCCCCCCCCCCCTTCCCATTTTATAAATGCTAGCAGTGTAGGTACCTGATTTTGACTTGGTATCATACGCTTACAGTTTTAAAGTTCAATCTGTACAGCAAAGCAGAGACCGTTCAAGGGAGAAGCAACACAAGCAGCCAATCAGGTGTGCTGCACTGCAGATAGCATGCCAATAGGAGGAGAGAGCAGAGTGACAGAGGAGTGCATCAGTCTGCTGCTTCTCCTTTCACACACAGGTTGGGGAAGGAGATTTGTAAGTGAAACTGCAGCAGGTCACCTACCCCTACCAAAACAGCAAAGCTGTGTCAATCTCAGGACGGGATGGACAGTAATTTAAATCCTTTGACAGGTAATACAGCACCTATGTATGTATTCCATTTGTGTATTTTATTTTTTTAAATCAAAAGTATTAATTCTTAGTGTTTTTAAGGCATACAAAAATTAGGTACACGTAACCAAAAGAAAAACCGCAAGAAAGGAACAAATATTAAAAACAAAACAAAAAAGAATTTCCAGTCTTACCAGCCTTCTAGTGTACAAATAGAAACAAAGAGAAAAAAATAGCGATTTTATGCACACAAAGTCATACATAAAACCCCACATAGGTAGGGCCGTAGAACCCCTCTAGCATTAAAGCAGTATAGAGCATAGATCTCCCTGTGTAGTAATCTAAGTAAATCTGGGCAGGTCATAGAGGCAGCAGGCATAATACATCATGGGAGGGTAGCTAAAACAACCTGTGTATGTCCAAATCAAGTGGGGCAAGACTTGGAGTGGCCAGCCATGCCTCCCAAAGTTTCTCAAATTTGCCTGGGCACCCACGATGTTGGTAAATTAAGCAATCATATCACAAAATGGTTCCCATATTCTGTCTCCAGTCCTCCATATTTGAGGTTCATTTGTGTATTTAAAGTGGAACTAAACCCTCCTATCTTTTGCAGAACAGGGAGCTGCCATCTTAGTCTCTGTTTGATCGGCAATTGCCATGATGCTGCACGTTATCAGTTATGACACCAGCCATTTGATGGTTCAACTGAGAGCTGACAGAAGCACTGTAGTCATTTTGACAAGTATTGTTCATGGAATGACCTGGATGTAATGGTTTTGGGAAAAAGTTAAATCAGTGAGTTTAATTCCGCTTTAAAGCCGAGCTAATCCCATTGATTTAACAGGTTCAAAAAAACATTTACATTACCGACACATCCTGGGTATGTAATTGTCATATTTGCTGGTGCTCTCAACTAAACTAGAGCCCAAGATGGCAGCTTCCTTGGCTGAAACCGATAGGAGGGTTTAATCCCGCTTTAATGGCCAGTTCACACCAGAAAGCATCACAGAAATGTTGCGCTCCATGCACATTTCCTTCACCAAATTCAAACGCACTGCCTTTGCAATCTGCATGTGGGTGCCGATGTAATATGAGGAGCGTTCAAGTCAAATTGGGACTTTTAATTTTACAGGTATAAAAAGGAATGCTAGCATGGCGTTACTACATGCAGTAGTAAATGGCAAGTGTGTCCTATTTCTAATAGGCGGTGCACATGTCACGGGCCGCTGCAGAGACTGTTAAGATGGCAGACGAGTGTTCGTACGTGTATGGAAGAGCGTGTGGTGATGACGTTTCTTGTGAACAAAGGTGTAAAACTTGTGGATATCTACAGCAGACTTCAAGTACAATATGCTGATGAGACGCTCAGCCACAGAAAGACATCTGCATGGTGTAAATGTTTTGAAGATGGCCGTCAGTGATGATCCTGGCCGTAGTGGTTCCCAGCACACAGCAGTCATTCCTGTGAACATTCAGCACGTGGAAAGCCTGATCCTGAATAATCGATTCATAACTTGTGAAATTGCACAAGAGACTAATCTTTCTTTGGAAATGGTGAACACAATGATGACGAAGTGAAGCAGGATGCCCTCGGATGGTTCAGGAGTACTGACAAATTGTCCTGTGCTATCCAGGCATTAGTTACACGCTACAATAAGTGTATAAATGTAGCAGGGGAGTATGTAGAAAAATAAATGCAGTTTGCACTCCTTTAAATTAGTTATTTTATTATATAAACTCAAAGTCCCAGTTTTGATTTAAACACCCTTCTTACTAATGGCACTCCGAATGCAGAAGGCTTGCAGGCACCAAATCACATGGCACTTCAGTACTATGCAATCTGATGCAGTACTTTTTTTTAAAAGTAGCACAAGTGCTACTCTTTGCGTGGTCTGGTGTGTTTTACAGCCCATTCAAATGAATGAGCTGTCAAAATGCACCACACGGAAATGTGTGGGTTTGAACCTGCGTGTGCCAGTGTGAACTGGTCCAAACTCTATAGTCAAACTATAAGGCTACGTTCACACTTGCAAGAAAATCTAATGCTGACACTAACACAAACCAACATGCATGTAGTGTTTAAGTATAACTAAAGGCAAAACTTTTTTTTTACCTTTGGACATGGTGGAGAGGGATTAGAACACCTGTCAGGTTTTATTGCTGTCTGTGCTCTCGTGAAAGAGATTTACCCTCTCTATTTATCCTGTTTACCATTATCATTAAAAGTGAAAGTAACAAAAATCCCAAATTTTAGATTGTCCCCAGGAAAGTAATAGAGGGGAAATATTCCAATGGGGACTCTTGTTCAGGTGATTTGGGGGTCCCCAAGAGATTCCTTAATTTGCAGGGAGCTTGTCTCCCTTCCTGTTTTGGCTATGGGACAGGAAATGAAGGGAAATCTCTGCAATGGGACACAGATGGCGAAACATAATCTGGCAGGGGTTATAACCCACCCTTACGCTATGCAAAATAAAAAAAAAGTTTTGCCTACAGTTCTACTTTAAGGGGGATTTGTTTTCTTTATACTTCACTGACATTTGAAAAATGCTTGTCAAACGGGCTGTAAACGCTACAAAAGCATTGACTTAAATGGAAGGAGTTGACAAACTTCCATTCCTCCCAGACTCGATGTCTAGCTTCATTTTGAAGCTAAGCAAATGTAACCTGTTTTTCAAATGAGAACAGCTCTGTCCGTGGTCCATATTGTCCATTGTAGCCTGCTTTGCTAAGCATTCGGGGAGCCACAAAAACATGCCCTAAATGACTATTTCTAATGCCAATGTGAACAGGCTCTATAAATAGACCTTTAAAGTGGCACTAAAGCTTTTTTTTTTTTTTAATAACAAACATGTCTATACTTACCTGCTCTGTGCATTGATTTTTCACAGAACAGCCCTGATCCTCTTCTTTTCGGGTTCCCATCAGCGATCCTGGCTCCTCCCCCTTGAGCATTGTTCCCAGGGAAAGTCATTCACCCTGGGGGCACCGCTGCATGCTCATCTACAAGCCACTGCTCTATTCGTCCATAAGATACACAGAGCTGTGGCTCAGCCCCGCCCCCTTTTCTCTCCTCATTGACACTTTGGCTGTGATTGACAGCAGTGGGAGCCAATGAGCTCTTGCTGCGGTCTCAGCCAATGAGGAGGAAGAGTCCCCAGACAGCAGAGGCTGTCGAGAATGTCACTGGATCGGAGGGGGCTCAGATAAGGATTGGGGGGCCTGGGGGGGGGCGCTGCACATGGAAGGTTTTTACCTTCATGCATAGAACACATGAAGGTAAAAACCTTGAGACTTTAGAACCACTTTAAAGTAGAATTGCAGGCAAATTTTTTTGGGAGGGTTATAACCCCTGTCATATTTTTCTTTGCCATCTGTGTCGCATTGGGGAGAATTCCCTTCCTTTCCTATAACCAAACATGACGTGAGAGGAAATCCCTGCAAAGTAAGGGAATTCCTTGGGGACCCCCAGATCACCAGGACTAGTGTACCCTCTGGAAGATTTCCCCTCTATTACTTTCCAGGGGATAACCTAGAAATTTTTCATTTACTTTCACTTTCAATGATAACGGTAAACAGGACAAATAGAGAGGGTGAATCTCCCTAATGGGGGCACAGATAGGAATGAAACAGATTTCTAACCCCTCTCCACTCTATTCAAAACTAAAAAAAAGTTTTGCCTTTAGTTATGCTTTAATTGTTCTGCGTTAAATGTACCAAGTATACATAACTTCCAACTGTCCCTGATTTGGAACAAAGTCCCTCTGCCCCTTTCCACCTCATTTGTCCTTCATTTAAGTCTGACTCATAGAGTTGTATAGAAAATGCACTATTTATCTTTCAAAAATTGTTTCCCAGGCTAAACCTTTCATCCAATTTCTAAATTGCTGCATTTGTAAATTTCAAAAGCCAATATAAAGGAATAATAGTGGTAAAAAAAAAAAAACACTTGTGGGTTTTTTTGTATACCGTATTTTTTGCTCCATAAGACGCACCTAGGTTTTAGAGGCGAAAAACAAGAAAAAAAAATATTCTGAACCAATGGACTGCAGACACAGTACAGGGGATGACCAGAGACTGCGGACACAGTACAGGGGATGACCAGGGACTGCGGACACAGTACAGGGGATGACCAGAGACTGCGGACACAGTGCAGGATATGACCAGAGACTGCGGACACAGTACAGGGGATGACCAGAGACTGCGGACACAGTACAGGGGATGACCAGAGACTACGGACACAGTGCAGGAGATGACCAGAGACTGCGGACACAGTGCAGGAGATGACCAGAGACTGCGGACACAGTGCAGGAGATGACCAGAGACTGCGGACACAGTGCAGGAGATGACCAGAGACTGCGGACACAGTGCAGGGGATGACCAGAGACTGCGGACACAGTGCAGGGGATGACCAGAGACTGCGGACATAGTACAGGAGATGGTCAGAGACTGCGGACATAGTACAGGAGATGGTCAGAGACTGCAGACACAGTGCAGGGGATGACCAGAGACTGCGGACATAGTACAGCGGATGACCAGAGACTGCGGACACAGTGCAGGGGATGACCAGAGACTGCGGACACAGTACAGGAGATGACCAGAGACTGCGGACCCAGTGCAGGAGATGGTCAGAGACTGCGGACACAGTGCAGGGGATGACCAGAGACTGCGGACACAGTGCAGGGGATGACCAGAGACTGCGGACACAGTGCAGGGGATGACCAGAGACTGCAGAGAGTGCAGGGGATGACCAGAGACTGCAGACAGTGCAGGGGATGACCAGAGACTGCAGACAGTGCAGGGAATGACCAGAGACTGCAGACAGTGCAGGGAATGACCAGAGACTGCTGACCTTTGGGAAGGGAGGGGGAGCGGGTACCTGAATTTGACAGGTACCCGCTCCCACTTCCGCGGAGTTGTCCTTCCCTCTTCTTCCCGGGCCGGCTTCTGTGACAGCCGGGTGCCCACTGTGCATGCGCGAGAAGTGCTGCTCTTTGTGAATGGCCCGGCGCCGGATCATTCACAAAGCACAGCACATGCGCAGTGGGCACCCGGCTGTCACAGAAGCCAGCGCGGGAAGACTGTGCAGCGCTAGAGCGAGGAACAGGTAAGGCCCTGCAGGAGACAACAGCTGAGCGGCCGGCCCGGTATTCTGACATGGTGGCCGCAAAAATACCGGACCGGCCGCTTTATATTCGCTCCATAAGACGCACTGACATTTTCCCCCCTTTTTTGGGGGGAAAAAAGTGCGTCTTATGGAGCGAAAAACGGTAATTTTCCTTTAACGGGGTGTGTTCTATGACTACACACTTTTGCTAATAGGTGTCCCTCGTTCCCATCTCAGAAAGTTGGGAGGTATGCTATAGTGCTCGGTATCAGTGCCTACAAAAAAACTGTAATTACTCTTTACAATTAACCTGTATACAAGATAAATTACAACATCAAGAATTGTGTGTGAGTGGTCTCTCCCCGACTGCGTACCCTGGGCCCTGCCTACAAGTGCAGAGGTCCCACCACGTGCAGTGCAGTTCTGTTATATATAATACCTCTAATGTGAGGGTTACTTGATGTAATACTAGATCAGTGAAGATTAAGGTCTCCTTTAAACGGCTGGTTGTCTGCATTCTGCAGATTCTAGTGGCAGATTCTTGCCAGTGGAATGACTTGGTCATTTGAATAGCATTGGCCTGTCAGCCTCTATAAACTAAAGACAGGCTGACAGTGGCTGGCGCTATTCACATATAGCTGCACACCACAAGTTTTGGAGGAGAGCTGGTCATCTATGTTTGACATGTGAAATAACCAAACTATCCTGTTTTTTTTTTCTCACACCTCCATTCTAATAAATGATCAAATTTATATATAACCATTTATTAGAATATTATACATTTTTTCTTGAACAGGGTACATAAGCTTGGTGGTTTCTAGCAAACTTCTCTGTAGAACCGAAATAAAAATATGTCTACACTCAAATCCAAATAGCTTTACACATACTGTATGCATAAACCATCAGGTGCATCAACCCTCTGCAAACTACTATACACATTTATACATTTCTTGCAAACTTTGCATAAAAAGAGGGATTTTTGGTTCACATGCATTGCAATACATGTTTAAACTGGCCAACTGCATCAAAGTACTTCCTCTCTGGCCAGTCCCTTTCTACTTTATGGCAACTGGCTGGGTGCCCCACTGCTGGGGTCTGGCACATGGCTGGCTGCCCCACTGCAAGGCATATGGATGGGTACCCTGTCGATTTGATTGTCAGAGAGATACAAAGCTTGATACTTCAAGTCCCTCAAGACAGCAGTACCCCAAAGCTGTAATACCATGAGTTATCTGGGCACTGGGGTCATTTGACAGTGTCGGAACCCTGACATCAGAGTGTCTTGTTATAACCAAGTAGCTTGCCCGGTCCCCAGAATTTGTTCTGTATATCAACTGCCTCCTAAGTCTTTCCAAGGCACTGGTTACCTGGCTAAAGTCCCCTAGTCCCCTTGAAGCTGCAGCAAAAGCATCTGGAACATGGCAAGGTGCATATGGTACTCGACCTCCCCCCAGAAGATTGCTACTTCCTGGGCTGTTATGTCAAATGAACAACAATTTTATCTGGGTTGTGACAAAGTACATATGGTTCTCGACACCCCCTGAATTCACAATCAGCGGAGTTACATTAATAGAATGTGTTGTTGCCATTTGGGCCAGATGTGTTGGTTTACATATTTGGATTGCAGAGCTTGGTGGTTTCTCTGTAGAACAGGGTACAATATGCTTGGTGGTCTCTATCAAAAGTCTCTGTGGAGCAGGGTAACAAGCTTGGCAGTTGCTATCAAAAGTCTCTGTGGAGCAGGGTAGCAGGCTTGGCGGTTGCAATCAAAAGTCTTTGTGGAGCAGGGTACCAAGCTTGGCGGTTTCTATCAAAAAAATATCTGCGAAGCAGGGTAATAAGCTTGGTAGTTTCTATCAAAATTATCTGCGAAGCAGGGTAACAAGCTTGGTGGTTTCTATAAAAAATCTCTACAGAGAAGGGTAACAAGCTTGGTGGTTTCTATCAAAAGTCTCTGCATAACAGGGTACGAAACTTGAATGCTCCTATGAAGCTAAGGAATAAAGGCATCTGCAGGGAAGTGTACCTGCAAAATATAAAAAAAAAAGTGTAAATTATGGTTATCACAGTGCATGCTGGCATGTGTTTTTAAGTTGCACTGCAATGCATTTTTTTGCATTTTGTTAACCATTTTTCTTTTTTGTAAGACAGCATTAGTGTGAACTGGAAACAGTAGGAAACAAGGCTATTTTTCTTGTGCTTGCATTTAGACTGTGTTGGGCAACACTGCTTGTGTGGAAAACCCATATTGGGTGATAAAGTATTGTGAAAAAATCAATTCTAGTTCTGTTAGATTACTCTTACCTTCATATACGCAAAGTCCCGTCTTGCCTGAGTATAATTCCAGTTGGCAACCTCCAAGATTCTGAAAGATAAATAGGTAACACATATAAGCATAATGAACAGACAACTAAAACCGGAATAGGATGTTCAGACCAGCCAGAACCATCCATTTACAGCTGATGTGATTCTGAACCCCATAGAAAAGAAATAGAATAGAAAGAGAAGTAGTAATGAAATCATACTTTTTGGCCCAATCCTCCTTAAGTCCAGATCCCATTGAGAACTTTTTGACGTAGGCGGCAGCAGTTTTATTCGGTCCGTGCAAGTCATAATATCCTCTGGTGTTGTAGAAGAAGTCCTCCGGAATCTTGTTTCCCATCTGCAAAACATCAAAATGAAATACAATAAAAAAAAACTGAACAACAAGCTATTGTGGACAGAAGAAAGCTTAGGGGTCTTTTTATAACATAGAGCAGTTGTCGCTATCTGCTCTCTATTATACTCCATAGGGCTATGCACACCGTGGCCCACATTTTACAGCTAAATCACAATGTGGGGGTCACAATGTGTACTCTGTGGTAGGTCACAGAGCTGCTCTGTGATTGGAGGAGAGCTGGTCATGTGTGTTTAACAGGTGAAATAACCAAGCTGTCCCCCAGCTTTTTTTCTCATAACCCCATGGCTGCACTTTATAAATGCCCCTCTTAGTTATAAACTGATAGTCTTACCTTCATCTTTTTAAAGATGTCTACAGCATCCTGCCATTGCCACTTCATGTCTGAAAGGCACCTGAAAAGGAAAGTGTTGGTGAGATTAGTAGTAGACAATAGAATGACAGGGCATGCTTATATATAAGGTTGATACACAAAACTCAACATTTAATTTCCAAGCAGCGTGTATATATAGCCGGAACGATGGTAAACACAGAATTTCTCTGACTTCCTGGGTCAACTCCATTTTGTTGGAGATCCAGTGAATCGAGTATCTCGATGGTAAAGGGTAATAATAATGCTTTTCTAAACAGCCTAGACTTCATACAGAAGAGCAGGAAAGGACTAACTCTGCTCTGAGCAGGAGACAATTCCACAAAGGAAAAAGTACAATAAAGGTTTTGTACCACCAGGAAGAACTAGGCTGATAGAAAAGGCAAATAATGTTGTCAAAGGGCTTGTGTAGATGGACTTTGGGCTTGTGCCTATGGCATTAGTCTGATATTAGTTTAAGAGGTTTCAGAAATTATTCTAAATTCATTGAAAGTTGTACATGACCTGCAGTTGGCCTCCATCTGACCTGCATGTGATCTGCTTCATATGGCTTTTGCATTTCTATAGACTTGTCTGTGAATGCAAAACCCACTTGAAGTGAACAAAAGTCCCTCATCAACATAAAATGCAAACTTGGAGATCAATAGAGTACTTTTGAAGTATAATAAAAATGAAATGTAATAGCTTCCTCTATCCATCCTGCTGCTTCCTACTGAATGCAGTTGTGTTTGTCCAAAAATTTTCAAAGAATGTCGGGCGGGAGGGTGGAGACAGGGCCACACATTGAGCAAATTTCAGCTGGTTCCTGATGAAAATTGGCTAGTGTATGGCCAGCTTTAGTCACAAAAAAAAACAATAAAGAACTAGAAGCCCAGACTTACTTTTCCACCCACTGAGGACGCATGTGGGTTGCGCTTGCAAATTGAAAGACCATTACGTTTTTGTTTGGTGGAAAGATGGTCTGTCCCTCATGCCTGTAAAAGCACTGTGGAGGAATTTGGCCTTTTTGATATCAGGTTCTTAAAATCATTCAGAGACTGATCCCAGTCCCAGTTGTTTTCCCGAAGACACCTCTAAAGAAATATAGAGGTTAGGACGGGTTGCAGAAGACATAATTTCTATTTTGATGAAACAAAAAAAAAAATATATATATACAAAATTTGTGTATATATATATATATATCTATATATAGATATATATATACACAGTATATATAAGTTAAACTCTAACGTACAAGTCCAACATAAAATTAGTCCCCTTTCACAGTCATATGAGATTGTATGTGCTGCAAGATTGTCTCTCCATACATTCTCACCACATAACAAAGCTGATCAAGGATTCCAATTCATATGTGAATCTATAATTGTGTGAACTTCTCTTCTTCTTTTAAAGTAATATTCTCGCCTCATGCAAAAAATATATCCAAAAAACACATATAGTGCATTATTT